CTATTGCCTTGTAGATGGCGGCCTTGCTGCTGTAAGACAACTTGCTTGAAGCTCTCAGCATCCAGTCGAGGGTTTTTAGCTTGCTTTTGCATTTTGAGGTTACTTGACTTATGTGCGCTTTAAAAGTCAGCCTTCTGTCAAGAGTGATACCAAGGTACTTTACTTTTGAGGCTTTGGGAATAGTGGGCCCCAATGCAACGCTTGGGCAATCTCCTCTTCTAGTGGCGAAGGTAGTATGTACAGACTTTTGTGCATTAATGGTGATACACCACCGTTTTGCCCAGCGTCCGAAAGAGTCCAGATATTTTTGTAGTGAGTCTGAAGCTTCTTGCGCAGATACGTGACGTGATAAGATGGCGGTGTCATCTGCATAGGTCGCTATGAGTACTGCATCTGTACTTCCTATATTTGGCTCGGGAGTTGGCATATCTCCTGTGAATAAAGTATAAAGTGTTGGGCCTAGAACACTACCCTGTGGTACTCCAGCCATAATTGGTCTAGTCAAGGATACTGTTTGCCCCCTTGACACTTGGAAGGTTCTTCCAATAAGGTATGAGGATAGCAACGCGAAAAATGGGGCTGGAAGGGTGGTCCTCACTTTCTGCAGCAGTCCCAGGTGCCAAACTCGATCAAACGCCTGTTTGATGTCTAAAAAGACGGCAGAGCAGTACATCTTTTCTTCAAAGGCTCCAAGGATATGGTGCACAACTCTGTGAACCTGTTCCGGTGTTCCATGCTGTCTCCTGAAGCCAAACTGATGGTTTGGAATGGCCTCCTGGCGTCCCAGATGTGTCAGTACTCGTTCCAGAAATATTCTTTCGAATATTTTGGAGAGTACTGGCAACAGGCTAATTGGTCTGTACGACTCAATTTCTCCCACGGGTTTGCCAGGCTTAGGAATCATCACAATCACGGCGCGCTTCCAGCAGGCTGGAAAGTGCCGGATGCGGAGCATGGCGTTGTACACCATAGTTATGTAGTCTATGGTGGAGTCAGGCAGTGCTCTAAGGACTCTGCCGTTTATTAGATCATATCCAGGGGATTTTTTTGCCTTCACTCTTCTGATGTGTTCAAGAACCTCTTCTTTTGTACATCCAGTTATCTGGTCTTCAGCTGGGAGGGGCGAGAGAACGATGTCTTCTGTTGCTTCGATTTCTGAGGCCTCTGCGGTAATCACCGGCGTGAATTGGTCTTGAAGGTGGTTTGCAAAAGCCTCAGCTTGAGCTTCGTCTCCAATGTGCCAGGAACCAGAAATGCTCCGAATGGGATGACGTCGTATTGGCTGCCGTTTGAGCTTTCTTGTAAATTTCCATAATTGAAACTCTGCGTCAGTGGGCGATTCAGCTCGTACCAGCGCATCGCTGATACACCTCTTTTGAAGCAGGGCGAGAGCAGCTTTAAGATGCCTCGTGGCTTCGTTGTACATGGATTTGGCATCAGGCGTGCGTAATCTTAACCAGCGTCTCCTGGCCCATCTTTTGTGTATTAGTAGGTGTTGGGCCTCCAAGGTGAGGGGGATGTTGTACGGAGACTGTTGTCTTGTTTGGCAAGATGGTGGGGCGGCTTGGTGCGCAGCTTTGACTATTTCTTCCTGCAGTTTGTTTGCTGCGTAGTCCACGTCTTCAGGAGTGTTAAGTTCCATTTCTATGTGCAAAGAGTAATGGAGCTCGCGCCTAAAGACTCCTAAATCTGATCCTGCTGGCAGTAGTTGTTTCCTAATGGGCAAGGGCTGTGGCTGCGCGTGGATTGTGACTATTAGTGGCAGGTGGTCAGAGGATAGGTCCAAGGATTCTTCAATGGTCAATTGCCGGTCACAGATGCCTTTGTAGACAGCGAAGTCGATTGCCGAGGGCCTGTGTCCATTAATTGGGTAACGGGTGGGGGCTCCAGTCGCCAATATGCTGAATTGTAAGTTTTGAATCGCCTCAAATATGACTTCTCCGCGACGATTCGCACTATTGCTTCCCCAAAATGGGTGCCATCCATTCCAGTCGCCGCCGATGAGGGTCTTATTCAACCTTTGGCCTAGAACCTGTTCCATGTGATGATCACACAGACCAGTGTTTGGCGGAAGATAAATTGACGCAACTTCGATCGCTCCAATAGACGTAGGCAGGGTGATGGCTGAGACCTGCATTGTTGCGTTGCAAATTGGCAGTAAAGGTGTATGCGGTATTGTTGCTCGTATGAGGATTGAGGATCCACCAAAGCAGTTTGCTCCTTCACCATGAGCCTGATAGTGTTCGTATCCGAAAATTTGTGTAGTGGGGCACTCATGAGTTTCTGTTATTAACATTATATCTATGTTTTCTTGTGAGAGAAACGCAGCCAGTTCCTGAGTCTTGTTTCTCAGGCCATTGGCGTTCCAGATACCCACACGTAAAGCCATTATTTGTAGGCAAGCTTGGTTATGATGGCCATTAAACTGTTTAGCATGGTTGCTTGTTGGGATTGTACTTCTCGCATCGCTTTGAGCTCGGCATTAATTGCGTCAAACTGACGTTGTTGTTGCTGAAGCATTTCAGTGAACAAAGTGTCACTTGTGGTATTCTTATTTGACGGTCCACCTCTAGCGGCCTGTGCGTAAGAAACACCACTAATAGGCGTTGCAAAGCTCGTGGCTTGGGTAATGCTCCGGGGCCTTGTAATTTCGGAAGCAGTACTCGGACCCGTAGACGGTGTTTGTGTGGGACTCCTTTTTTGTGCTGGGGATTGCAATTTGCGCAACCGCTTGTATACTTGGCAGCCCTTATAGTTGGCTGGGTGCTGTAACTCACAGTGCACACAAGTTGGTGCCTGGTCCTTTTCGCGGGTGCAGTCTTTGGATGCGTGTTTCCCGGCGCAACGCACACATCTGGGAGCTTTGTGGCAGTAGCGTTGTGTGTGTCCAAATTCTTGACAGCGATGGCATTGTGTCAGGTCGTTGTATCTTCTTGGCAGTTCCACTGTGCAGCGTTGCCTGCAGACAACTCGAATGTCCAAAATTTCTTTGTTGTTGGGGGCCTGAGCCACGTCAACAAAAAATATATTTAGCGGTGTTTTGTCCATACGGCTCAGTGGGTTGTGCACATTTGTAATTGTGTGGCCTTTGGTTTCCAATTCCTTTTTAATTAGTGTTGTATCAGTGCTGGAGTGAAGCCCTTTGAACACGACTCTATATGGTTTGTCCTCCTTAAGCTGGTAGCAGTGGAACTCCAATTCCAGCTTAGTAAAGTGGTCTATAACTCTGCGATAGTCCTCACTGCATTGGGTTAATACACCTATGTTATTCTTCTTTGGCTTAATTACGTATGATTTAGCATCAATTACTTTATCTATTATCTGTTGAAGTAGGGCCACAGACTTGATGTTTGGACACCATATGGGGGGCGGACGAGGTTTCGGAGTAGTTTGCTGGTCGGTCAATACTGGGGCTTCTGGAGCTACAGGTGATTCGCTGTAGTCTTCATCTTCTTCTACGAGCAGTGAAAATCGATTTTCTGATATTAATGCTGCATTGCTGGTGCTTGGTTCGTCGAAGATGAGCCTTTTCTTGATGGTTTTTGGTGAATTTGGCTGTTTACGTTTCGTGTTTTTGTTGTTAGTGATGCCTTGCACGGAGGCGATATCTATTTTTGAGTTTATTGGCATGATGGAGGCTTGCCTATTTGCCATCACAACGTTAAGCTGGGCTTGCATTTCTGCATTTACCTTTACAGCTGTAGCGAGGTTATTGACATTAGATGTCATCGCGGATTGTGCTTTTGAGTGCAGGCGCACTCGCGCCAAGCGACGAAATTTCGTAAATTGCAATTAAAGCAATTGAGTTACGCGGAAGCAAGCGATAAGAAAACGCTGCGTGTGCGGTTTTTGTTGCTGTTGCGTTGAAGAATGCACCGCAAAGTTCTATTTTTAGAACTCTGCAGCAGTAGAGCTTAAGCGAAGGCTGTTCGAATTCACGTCTTTACAGGTCGAACGACTGATCGCGATTGAATCATATTACTGTTTGGCATTATTTTATTGCATTCCAATCAGACGCGTGTGTGTGTGTAGAGCGGGTAGATTGACTGACTGGTATGCTTACAGTGGTGTGTGAGTGGTTGAAAATTGTTGAAATTGAAATATAAAAATCCATTCCAACTGTATAATTAATGTATTTATATAAGTAATAATAATAAATAAATGTAAATTGATTATACAAATAAATTTATTATAAATATAATATATGTTATATATTTATTATTTTGATATGCTGTAAATAATAGAATTATATGTCAAAAAAAAAAAAAACACTTCCTTTATTATAATATATTTTGCTTTGACTCTATTTTGGTCATCATATGTATTTGTATTACATTTTATTTTTAAGTAATTTAGTATATTCATATTCAATTTGATTTATGTAAATGTAAAATTATATATTATTATATCTTGCTTAATAATTTGTTTTAAATTCAATTATAAATGCAATTCGCAGCGGATCTCGCACCACTGTGCGACTGCAGCAGCAGACCACCAAATCGGTAAAAGGGTACAAGAACAAATATAAGCAAAAAAAAAAAAAAAAAAAAAAAAAAAAAAAAAAAAAAAAAAATTGAAAGAAAAACCCCGATTTGGAATCAACAGCAAACGTTGCGAGTATCTTTGGCTGTTGCCTCTGTTGCCTCTGTTGCCTCTGTTGCCGTGTCTGTGTCTGTGGCAGTGCCTGGCCACATATTCATAAGCTTGGCTATATGCTCGCCTGCGTATTCATATATGCATGCCAGCGATATCTGCACTCCACACACACTCTCTCACACACGCACACACAGGCAGTGATACATTATCGATATATGTATGTCGCTTGTCGATGTTCTTGTGTACTTTATTTATATTTGCTTAACTCGGTTCTTTTTCTACCTTTTTGTTTAATACCTATTTGACTTTAATAAGTGATTGTTGTAGCATTTAAAGTGTCGAACGTTGCGCCACTTCACTATAAGCTTGTCTCTCTCTCTCTCTCTCTCTCTTTTGTTGTGTGTGTGTGTGTGTGGATCAAGTCGCAGCAAGGCACAGGCACAGGCACAGGGCACGTTCGTGTTTGGCCCCCAGTTTGTCCGTGTCAGTTGATTCCATTTGACGCAGTGTCCGAAAACTAAACGCATCGATCGCTAATTGCTGAATTTACTCGCTGATCGACAGCTCGGCCATGATATAGTTAGATAGAGAGAGACAGATAGCAAGTGAGTAAGAGGGAGAGAGAGAGAAAGAGAAGGCGCATGCGCATGGGCATTGAGCTTGTTTTTGCCTAGTTAGTTGGGCCATATCAGCGAGTGCGTAAGTGGACCGGGCTCGTTCGCTCACTCGCTCGCTCGCTCGCTAGCTGGATCGCCGAATGGCATTTTTATGGCTTATTGAAAACGGAACAACAGTCAAAAGCGCGCGCACCGCTCGATACAAACGACACAAGCCACCAGTCAGCAGCACCCACCGAAAAATGTAACCAAAGCCCCAAAGCGGAAAGAACCGTCGCTACCGTCGTTAACAATCATCGCACTCGTCGCGTCAAGTGGAACGCGATATGAATTGAATTGAGCCCCAAATTGCACTAAATGGGATTGCCATAAATGAATTAGTATTTGAATTGGATTCAATAATAAATCAGGCCGCGCCGTGACACGACAACTATCGTGACAAATTCATTTGCCTCTCCGCTATTAAATAGTTATTATATTTGTACACAAATTAAAAAGCGATCGCGCATTAAATATCGATCCGGGCGCAGTACAAAATCGTGCAAATAATTGCCGCCGGCTCAAAAGTTAATTGAAATCAATGTGCAATTAAGAAGCCGCCCAACCACCCAAACAACCTACCACCCACCCAGTGCCAAGTGATTCGTATAAATATATATAAAAATATCTAAAAATTTGTCACAAGTTTTTTTTGTTGTTTGTTTTTTTGTTATTGTTGTTGTCCTTTGGAAGGCACGCCAACGGCCAAGAGCGCCAACAAATTTTAATTATGAGCAACTACAATCCGAATTGCGGTTACTTTGAGGATTGCAGCTATTATACAAACAATGTATATCAGCCGGATTATTGCATGCAGCCGGATTATGAATACAACAAACACGTCTACGAGTGAGTACCTAAACAGGCCAATTGGCTCAGCGCCATTTACCGTTTACCATTTACCATTTAGCATTTAGCATTTCATGTAATGAACGGATAATAAATAGCCACAATCCCAACTACATTCAACAACTCAAGGGTCAATAAGTTGCAGCCAACTGCAACTAATGCCGACGGCAATTCATTTCGTTCCATTTAAGTTTTTATTCAGTGTGTCTTATTGGCGAGAATCAGAAGCTAAGACTTCTTCTTCATACGCTAACTTCTTCGATTATCATAGAATCGTTGGCAGCTAAAAAAAATTATTGCTATAATGCTAATTATTGGATATAATCCTAATTTAATGATATACATAATTATGTGTTTTATAATACCATAAAATCAAGACAACTTTTTGTCTTTTCCAGTTTTTAGTTGATTTTGAATCGACTCAGATTTGAATTTGTTCTTCATTATCCTCATACGGGAAACTTCAATATATGCAACAGCAAAACTCTCGTGAAGGTTTGAATCTAGAAAACACAGTTAAACAAATAAGAGTATTTAATGGGCAATGCTTAGAAATTAGTAAAACGAAAAGTACAAATTTCTAAGCATATTCAAAATCCACTACTCATATTAACAAAGAACTTATATAGTTTATCAGCCAGGTCTGCTTATATCTCCTATATATAAACCTACTTTTAATAAGCCCCTTTATATAAACCAGCTATATCTATATATCCCAATTGTCTGTATGCTAGAGTGAACTTCAAGTATTGCCTGCAGTCCAGAAATTCGTTTGATTTACATACTTAACTGGAAAAGCTATTCGTCTATGTGAATAAATTTATAATTTATGCATATGTATGTGCTGTAGAGTTGGACAGGTGCCGTCGACTGTGTGAGGTGTCAAAACATTTCCAGGAAATCGTTGCGGCAATTAAAAACAATTTGATTTTAAATCAGTAAAGAAAACAGAAGCGAAGAAAACAAGGCTCAAAGCCGAGTGCAGGCCCAGGCCGAAAGCAGCCAAAGACCAAGACCAGGAACAAGTTTAAAGGGATCAATCCACAAACGTACTATTAACATTTAATGGCATAACATAATGAAATTGTGCTGATCGCACACACTCACACACAAACACACACACGCGCAGATCGCATATCAGCCCGTCTTAAGCCCCTGATTTTCGCACAGAGACGAGCGCGAGTGTTGGCCTAAGCCAATGTTACGGCATTGTGATGAGACTTGGCTAGCTGGCTGGCTGGCTGGCTGGCTGACTGGCTGACTGACTGGCCGAGCATGTGTGATAAGCCGAGGGCAAAAGGTGTCGCATCAGCCACAGAGCTCGGCAGTTGCGAGGGACGCACTCAACAATGCGCATTATTTCCACTTTGTCACCTTTTGCATTTTGGAAAGCAGCAGCAGCAGCAGCTAGGGCTACGGGGTTTTTCACGGCTGCACTTTGAAAACCAAAACACATGTTTTGTGAAATCGTTTGGAAAATCACATACACACAGAGTAACAGAGCGAGAGCGAGAGAGGGAGCGGGTGCATCTGAGAGTGAGAGTCTAGCAAATTTTACTTTAATTGGGTTTGTCCATAATCGTTGCATCGAACCCTCGGCTAATCTCGGATAATACTGTTTGCCAAATAAAAGCAAATTCTATTTTTATTTCCATTTTATTTTGTTGTTTGGTTCGCTCTGTCACACGGCTAATTTTTCATTGATGTTTTTGGCCAAAGACTGAGCCTCTGCCTGGGACTTTCCCTCGTTCCACAGGTTGCAATTCGTTTTTTCTTCGTGTTTTTTCTTTTGCCAAGGGCACAGGTTGTTGTTCGAGCTCAAATTCAACTGTAATTTTAATTAAAAAAAGTGACATTCAGTCCATGTTTGTTGTCTTTCAAGTCTCTAAATGGAACTAATTTGTATATTTGCTTATGTTTCTATGTTTTCCTTTAACCTTGTTGCTTGCACAATAAAAACAACAAAAAATACGCACCGATCTCTGCAAATACTGCTCGCAATCGAGCCAGTCAAACATCTAAGTCAATTCATAATAATAAGAAATATATATAAATATATTTTTATATTATATATTTATATATGTATATATATATATATGTATATATACATGAAAGCAGTTGGTCTCTTTGGGCTGTCCCCTTTTGAACAGTCTGCGCGCACTCACTTGTCTTTTGGAGTTGAAAAGGACACGCTATGCACTTGTCTGGCACCCTGAAATATGAAGTTCGAAAACATAATTTTATTTGATGATACTATTTTTTATTAATAAAACAAAAGAACTGGCAATCGCTGAGAGAAGCGTTGCTAAACGCAATTCGGAAACGCAATCAGTCAAGTTGAACGTACTCCAAAAATCGTAAACTTCGAATGCCTGGGAATATGTGCATATGTTGACATCGTCATCGTCGTCCCCGTCGGATGAGCCAGGAAGTAAACAAAGCACACACGAATAGCCAGGCAGCTAAACGTTAAACGTTGCCTGATCGCTCGACAGGCACCTCAAATACTCTACTTATTCGCATTTGTATTTAGGCTATAAACATTTGTACGCAATTTATAGATCAGTAATATAAAGATTGTTAGCCCTACTTTCAATATAGGAATGAAAGTCACTTTCTGATTAAAAAGTTTCTAAGTAAATTCTAAAAATATTCTTTAACAATGCCTGAATTGAGCTTCACAGCCTTGAAAACTATACAAAAAAATATCTGATTTATGCTGAATAATTGAGACTGTAATCATTTGAAAGTTCGTAGATTTTTAGATAATATTCCTCAAATTTATTTCAATTCTTGAAATAGCTTTAAAGATAATTGGCTCACATTGTGGGTATTGAACTTGATTATCTTGATTTTTTTATATTTATTTGGTAAAAATAAATGAGATTTACTTAACAAAAATTTATGTATATTGGGAAATTTTCCAGGCTGGTGAAGTAAAGAATAATCAGGATATACTTTATTAAATGAAGTCACCTGGTTGACATATAAATAATATGTAAAGATTTTCCATGGCATATGTATTTGGATACATTTTTGGAAACGGAAATCTCGATTTTTATAAAATATAAATAATTTATAGCCCAAGCTAATATTTTGTAATTTGTTAAGTCTAGAATTGGTTAACTATTCTAATTAATGTCATACCTAACGCTCTCAAATTCATATGTAAACTGAGCTGTGACCAAGTACTTAGCAAAAGGCGTTTTTTGTAGGGTATTTAAGTGTGTTTTGTTGCATGTTTTGAATGCGTTTAATACGCCCCTTACGCGCGATAATTTGTATTTATTTTTTCGTTCTTTCTTATTTTTTGTTCCTTGGGCGCAAATATTAACGTTAAATCGCGCGCTGCTTTGCTTTATATTTTTATATTTTATTACTTTGCAGAGTTGTCAAGTGGCTCAGAATTGGGTTACGAGTGAAGTTGACTTGAGCTGGCAGCTAAGCGAGATTCGATTGCAGCCAACAAGCATTTGGCAGCTGATAATTGTTGGGAGAGACTCGGCAACCCTGGCGGGCATTTGGCTTTACCCAGCGCGTTCGTGGCCCAAACTGTCATCCGCGAGCTATTTTCCTTTTTTTGTTGTGTATTTTTTTTTTTTTTTTTTGTATCTGCCTGGCTAAAACGACGCTGTCAAAGCAGCCACTTGCCGGCGCAGGTTGTCATTGTCGTTGTTGTCTGCTGTCTGTTGTCTGTGGCACATGTCATGGGTCGAAAGACAAAATGTTGCCAGCATGCTGAACTCAAACAGGCGACAGTTTGGGCTAAAACAGAAATTGATACATTTAATACAAAATGCTGCACAGCTTTCGAGTAGAGGCGACGCGACACAACGCGACGTGTGACTTTCTGACATTTAATGCCAGTTTCTCAATCAGTCAGTCAGTCCGTTTGGCCGTCACTCAGTCAGTCAGTTAACAGATCGCATGCGCCATGCGAATGTGAAAATAATACAATGAAATTTGCATTTACTACTCAGTCATATATGGCAGCTCTCTACAGTCGAGCTCTACTCTAACGTTGGGTAGTTGGCTGCTTTCAAGCAATATGTGATGCATTCAGCAACGAAAATCTATCGATTTGATTTTCAATGAATATTCATAACAAGTAATTTTATCTGCCCTCAACTATATTCACTCTACTTTCTTTACTCTCAATGCCCTGTAAATATTCCCAAATTGCCTCGAGCTTTCTATGACAGCAGTAGGTGCATCTGCATTTGCCTCTCTGTCTAACAACATCAATTGAGGCTCACACATTTCATATAAAATGATCATAGACATCAACTCATACAGTTGTGTTCATTAAAATAGTAACGCCAAACTAGACAAAACATAAATCAAAATAAAAATGTATTTATTTATTTATTTTTATATATTCTATAAGTCTGACACTGTATGACAATCTCAATAGTATATTGCATATATGAAATATATGTAAATATATATTTTGTAAGCTCTTCGCTTGCAACTGTATTCAATCTTCGTCAAGTGAAACAGTAACACAACGGAAGAGTTATCTGTATGTGGGGTTTTACTCTTTTTTCGATTTGATTGGCCTGTAATGAGGGCTGTGATTGGCTGAAGTGTCACGGGCGCTGCAACATGCCAGTGGTAGTTGGAGTGGGAGCGGGAGCAGACGCCCAGCAGAAATTGTTTTTCGTGCAGCTGAAGTTGGCTTTAATGAGTTTCATAGGAACACCGCCTTCATTCACAAATCAAAGCTGACAAAACGCAGCAATTAAACAGACAAAAGACATGACCAGAGACACAGATACGGATACGTTTTGAACTGGCAGGGTCCAAAGACAATACCACAAAACTGGGCAAGGTGTGTCCCTCTCTCTCTCTCTCTGTGTCTCTGTGTGTGTGTTAAAGGCCGCTGTGCCATTCATAAAAATATTGCAATTGAAATTGTTTGGCATTTGAAATAAATTGCAAATTGTGTATCTGGCGAATGCGTCAAGCTGTGAGGAAGGAAGTAGGAAGTGCGCAGAGGA